TGGGTACCGAAATAGGCGCGATCCGTTTTGTTCCTGGAGAATAACTCATAAACCACTCAAGATATCTTTATGACAAGGCCTAAAATAAGGTTAAATTCTTGTAGCACGGATTTTGTGTCCGGTGGATTAAGCTCCGGTTTCCCATCCTTATTTTAATACTTAAGATCACAGATACTACCGAAAATTAGTGAAAATTATGTCAAAAATAAAGTGAAAGTGAAATGACGGTCAAGGACGCAGCGGAGTCGATCGGGCGCCAACAGATCTGATCGGACCTTCGCAACTGACCACCACAAGAGGAAACACTCATTAGGGGTCAGGAGGCATTGCTACCTTACACTTTTTCAGAGCCTTACGCCATTTCTTTCAGAGCACGGTTTTCTTATTTTCGAAGCACGGATTTTTCATTTCGAAGCACGTTCGTGCTCCAAGGCACGTTATTTTAGGCCCTGCTTTATGACACGCATTAGCGTATTGCATTTGTATAGTTTTGCTATTTTTAATTATAAATGTCCTGGATTTAGTAATCTCGGTATTTTAGTGGAAAATTTTTGGCTAAGGTTTTGGTATTACACCGTCAGGGATTGTTGTTGACGACTAAGTATCCTTGTTATATTTTCCTTGAGAACATTTAGTATTATTATCACTAAACAATTCCTCGGGGATTTCTTTCATGTATAGGAGCCACGGTGGCTTGCTGAGTATAACGCTGGCTCACTAACCAGGAGATCACGGGATCGTCCCCATTTTTGACCGAGAAAGTTTATCGGGGTTTTCCAGCCTGGTTCCCCGTTAGTCAGTGGATCTGGACCGAGGGCTTAGCGAGGAACAGTGTCTAATCGTTCGGAGGTTACGAAAAATCCGAGACCCAGTGTAGACATTGGCGTGCATGTAAAAGACCTCTTGACATTTGGAATTGGATGAAAAGTAGGTGGAAACGACAATATCCTGCAAATATTTCACCCATTCCACATTGCATAGCGTATGCCTGTCTTTCATTAGCTCGGTTGATACAAAAAGGTACTCCATTTCATTTCTTTCTTCTGTGTCGTAAATGGCTCTGTCATTCACCGATACAAGTGTTTTATAACGACTTATAAAACATCGTTAATGATACTTGATCATAAATATAAGCCTGAAGCAAAAACATAATATCTACTACTTATATCTATCTATATTTTTCCACTGACATGCTAAATAAATTCTTATTAAATCTCAATGTATTAACTCTAGGCTATATTTGTCATAATACGGTTTTTAATGATATATATGTACTGTATATATATATATCTTTTTTTTTTGGAGAAAGATAACATGTTTGTGGACAAATGTGTCAGCTGATTGGTCTATGTTAAAAGTTCGAACGTATATTTAATTATAGCAATGTTTTTTCCCGTTAAGTTTTTTCATTCGGCATTGAACAGAAGCGTTAATTTGTTTGTCTTCAACTAAATGTCAAGAAGTGATATCCATACACATTTTGCTTGTCGTCGTATCCTTTAAACTATATTTTTGTATCATTATTTGTAATTGTAATGAATAAAATATTATTTAAATCTATACTAAATGTTCAAAACTTTCTGCTGTCTTTTGTTGGATCTTTTAAACTAAGAAAATATTTACATTATTTTAGTTTAATATTGAATATGTAAATGCTGCAGGCAAAATGGAATTGGGATTTGTCGTCACTTACATTCTTTCTTATTTCTATAGTTACCGATATAGAAAGTTCTTCTCGGTCCACGCAGGAATTCCAACCATTATACAAACGACCTTTTATTTAAAATCCAATTAAAAGAATCTTCTGTATGCGATTTTTGCTATTCAAATATAGAAACCCCAGAACACATTTTTATATACTGCAATTACGGACAAGTAATATGGAATGATTTGCATGAAATCTTTTCAACTAATGACATTTCAGTACAATTACAAATTACAAACATTCATTTTTGTTTTTTGAAAGAAACAGGTTTTAAATCATATCGTGAATTCGTATTTGTAAATCATTCAATATATCTAATATATCTTTTACCTGTATAAATCGAAAATGTTAGACCGCCAAGTATTAATTATCGAAACTACTTGAAAATTAAACAACAGATAGATAATGAATAAAACAAAACCTTAGTAAATAAATGGAAGTATACAGTATGATTATTATTCATACCTCTAGTGTTCCGTTCATGCCTCTACTATCTTTGTGTTTTGTTTCCTTTGCTTTTGGTTTCTTTGTGTTTCTGTTTGTTCTACTAAATGATTATTGTTTTGAAGTTTTAATGTGATTCTAAGATATGATGTTACACACTGTAAATCTAATTTGAACTACTGTATGTATGTAAAAAAAGAAGAAAAAAACCGGAATTCAAACCATTCTAGTCGACAGTCCATTATCCTCATCACTCGGCCATCACAACCCCCCTGGAATAGGCAACAGCAGGGCTACTGAATGTTTATGCCCTCTTCTTGGAATAAATCCATAGAAATAAACCCTAAAGACTTGGAAAGCATGGAATTTTTTCAGAAGAATTGTGGTGCTGTTGCGGATTCACAAAATATGAGGTGACGTCAAAAATTGGTCCCCCAAATCCACAACTGATTCCCTCGATCAAGGTGAATATCTTAAAATGAGGTACCGAATGAGGTTTTGCACATATTTGTGAAATTTGCTGCTTGTATACTTTCTGATGTGTATGGGTGTGTGGGTGTGGGTGTGTGTGTGTGTGTGTGTTTGAAACGACGAAAAGATAAAAGGTATGCCGACAAAAACTGATTTCAACACTGATTTAATAACATTTTAATATTTTTGACGATATATATATATTTCTTTCACCTTCACAGTAGAAATTAGTGCCAGACATTATCAGTTTATAAGATGATATATAACCCTTCTATATCCAGGCGCCTGATGTCCTATAACCAGCCGGCCACTAACTTATCCATTGGTAATATAAATCGGCTCTGTTCAATGTTTTCTCACTGACCATTTATCATACAGACTTAATGTCTGAAGATGTTCCGATTGGTGTTAATGATCATTGATTTGGAATTGTTGAGGAGTTGAGAATCCATCATGTACAGCGATTATAATCCGAACCACTAAGGCAGCGAAGGGCTTAAAAATGATATTTATATCCATGAAGAAGCTGGAAAATACCCGATAAATCTCTCAGATCCATATTTATTTTAGAGAAGAAACAAAATGGCCAAAATAATTTTATCTTTAAGTAATATCGTGCTCGGACAGAGCATACTTACGCTTTCTTGAACGCTTTATACAATATTGAACTTGAGACGCTAACGTTGCTAAAATAACTATTCTGTTTGATTTAAGGGCTGTAGTAATAGCCCGTTCAGACACTTAAGTTGAACTGGTTTAAAGAAACCCGGGGATCTTTAAACCAGTTTAACTTTGTCGTCTGAACGCAAACGTGGGGCAAATAAACCAGTTTAAAAACTCCAACTCGCGACCTGTCTCCGAGAAGGCTTTTTATTTGAAACTGGTTCATTTTTTTGGCCATCTGAACTGGTTGGCTTAAAAACGCCTGCTCCAGTTGGCTTTGGACATGTGCAGTACGCAGTAAGTTACATTCCTGAGAAAATGTCGGGGTCAGGCAGTGCCAGTGTTATCTTTATTCTTTATTCGGTTTTTGCACGCTTTCGATAACGTTGGCACTACCTGACCCCGACATTTTCTCAGGAATGTAACTTACTGCCTACTGCACATGCTCAAAGCGAGCTAGAGCCGGGGATTTTAAGCCAACCCGTTCAGGCGGCCAAGATGAACCAGTTTAAAATAAACAGGTCACGAGCTGTTTTTTTAAAAACTGGTTTATTTTGCCCACATTTGCGTTCAGACGACAAAGTTAAACTGGTTTAACGATCCCCGGGTTTTTTTAAACCAGTTCCACTTAAGCGTCTGAACGGGCTATATGTTACAACTGACAGTATTGGCAATGTCTACCGTTCAGACTGTTTTTGTTTTTTTACCCTATATTTGCGTTCAAACGACAATGTTAAATTGGTTTAACGATCCCCAGGGTTTTTAATCCAGTTCAAATTAAGCGCCTGAAAGGACTGTGGATAATTGAAATAGCCAGCTGACTTTATTATCATCATGGCAGGGGCGAGGGTATGGATTACAATTCCCCACTAATTCCACCTTATCCTTGTTAATGTTAATCGGTGTTTTAATAATAGTGAAACAAAGGCTAAAGTGGTTACAAGCATAAAAGTTTGTGCCTTCACAACATAGCTATAACACCACTATAATTTTAAAGAGCAAACATAAGCATTAGGCATTCATGTGTTAAAATTAATGTTATGTGGGCTCATATCTGTATGACTGAGTAATTCTTATATATGTATAAGTATAACACTATCATTAATAAATAAAACTTACATCTTAACCTAGGAATACTATGGCCTTTATTGTTATTATAAATACCGTATTCATTGATACATAAAACATTAGGCCAATTGGTGGCCGAGTGGTCTGTTAGACTGTCTGTCATTGGGTTAAGTGTAATGGTTTCGAATTCAGGTTTGTACTCTTCAAAGGGGGAGCAATGTACATTTTCTCTGAGGACTCTAGTTTCCATCTAAAATAAACATCTTAGTCCCGAAATAAACCAATTCTCTAAACTAACACAGAGGCCAATTTTGACCAGATAACATTTTGACTTCATTAATAGATACTTTTTCCAAGGTACATAGAAGGTTCACCTTGTAATTCTAAGTATCGAAGAACCCTTGAAACTTTAAATGAATCATGTTACTGACGCAGAACAAAACCAGTTTAAATGTGCCTTGGTTCTAAAACGCAATATATTTTAAAACATAATTCACTTCCAAATAAAAATAAACCAATGAAATCATATTTGTCACCTTTTGTTTTTTAGTCCCAAGATCTACTAATGATACAGTTCTTTCATTTTGGAGAATAACTATCACAACATAGTAGATTTAACACAATAAATAAATAACAAAAGATTTCATACTTGCTTACTTCAGACCAATGAATTGTCTGATAATGATACATCTAACAGCTGGCACCAGTAGATTACAATTATAGAGGAAATATGTTTACATTCTGAAAAAGATCTGTTTTGACAAAACTCGGGCAAAATGCCGACCTTATCTCTGAGATTTACAAACAGTAGTATGGCTGGTCAATCTGAAACAATATAACACATATCGCGGTTAATTGGTCACTATATAAATGGTAGATAAACCTGTAGGTAGAGCATTTATACCCTATGCTACCCACAGTAATCATAATGTTATAAAATAGCCAAAACAACTAAATCTTGTTTAGTGGGTGATAAAAATGGGGATCAAAATAATATCAAGGTTAAACTACACAGCTCTGTATCAAACACCACCCATTCTTTTTAGCGCAGTCTTTAATTTGGCACAACGCCATCGTGTGTGTGAATTATTCATTCAATACAGTGGTTTCATCTTCATGATATACTATTCAAAAAAAGTAGGGGATATTTGATTTTGGCGGCATAATACTAAAATATGCAAATGACTACGAAAAAAGTCACTATAGAACCTAACAGAAGAAACATTTCCAGTCACATGTGACGCCCAAACGCACCAATAGCTACCGCATGGAATGCAGGTGATGCTTGGGATCATCATGGGGGTCCAACCCAAGATTTGCACGACTCTGACTTTGAATGTTACAGTCATTATTGCATTGAATTCCAGGGTGGAAACATCAGTTTAATTGTTTTAGTGACCAGAAAACAAATTTTGATATGCGTCGGCTTACCCAAAATGAAAGGTTACGTGCCCTTGGCATGCTACAGATCGGCACAACACAGGCGGTTGTGGCGCGGACGATGAATGTTTCTCAGTCTGTCATAAGCAGGCTATGGTCCAGATACCGTGATACACAATCTGTACAGGACAGACCACGCTCAGGTCGACCAAGGGCGACAACTCAAGCCCAGGATCGATTTATCCGTACCTTGGCCTTGAGAAATCGTGTCATCACAGCAAATCAGATCAGCGCTCGTCTTCAAACAGACACTGGTGTGAGAGTGAGTGGCCAGACGATTCGGAATCGACTGCATAGGGGTCACCTTCGCGCCCGACGTCCTCGCGTCATCCCTTGTTTGAGAGATCATCACATTCAGGCAAGACGTCGTTGGTGTAGGGATCGTCAACACTGGGATAATCGACGCTGGAGCAATGTGATGTTTTCAGATGAGTCAAGGTTCACTGTTGATTTTTTGGACAGACGTAGGAGGGTGTGGCGTCGTCGAAACGAGCGCTTCCAAGACGTTAACGCCATCAGACATGATCGATTTGGGGGTGGTTCTGTTATGGTGTGGGGAGGCATCACTGTTGCTGGAAGAACGGCTTTACATGTTGTTGCAGGGCGTGTTACAGGCCAGTACTACCGGGACAACATCTTGGCAGTCCATGTTGTGCCGTTCGCACGACGTCATGGCCGCCGTTTCATCTTCCAGGATGACAACGCAAGATGTCACAGGGCCAGGATCGTTACAGGTTACCTCTAACAACAGAACATCACCACATTACCTTGGCCAGCACTGAGTCCCGACCTCTCCCCCATCGAGCATGTCTGGGACATGCTTGGACAGAGGTTACGTCAACGTCAACAACGTCCTGCCAATGTCCAAGAACTTGCTGCTGCGTTGCAACAGGAATGGGACAATCTGGACCAAAATGACCTTAGACGTCTCATTAGGAGTATGCCACGTCGGATCAATGCTTGTTTGGCAAACAGAGGAGGATTTACCCGTTACTGACTTGGTTGTGATGCTGTGGTAACTTTGCTGTTTGACCCCGGGTATCATTTTACCCATATAATGGTCAGTCTGTGCCTTACTTAGTCTAACGATCATTTGGAATAAATCGATGAATGTGAACTTCATTTCATTTTGTCATTTGTTTCTTCGTCAGTTTCATTAGGTGACTTTAATAACACTTAAAAATCAAATATCCCCTACTTTTTTTGAATAGTATATAATTCCAGAAACCTATAAATAAAACAGTAACATGTCGATAACAGCATATGACAATAGCGTCCTTGGTGGGTTTTTAAAGCGATATGCATCTCTTTAAAATTGTCAGTTTAATATCCTTAATAATAAAATGTTACAATTGTTAATATTGAAAATATTCTTGCAGGAAAAGAGCAACAGCAAATTGACAGGTGTCGTGTACAAGGTGGGTTTTGTCTAATCGTTCTGGTATGGCTAATAACCAAATCGAAAGAATAGTAGCGTGAAACACTGCTTCCCCGGACTAAAGATTTCCAATGCACATCTAACCAAACAAATAAAATAATACCGTATGTTAGTCTTAGTACGACCATTCCACTGGAATAACAGGCATCTTTAATCTGTATCGTATAAAACTCTTAAATTAAGGAAATATCGAAATAATTATCTTGTAAACATGTCATTAAAATTATATCTGTCAAGATGATAAAAATAACAATAGACCACTGAGATACCTTTTCGTGGGTGTATTATTTGAACAAAAATATGAACGATTTCGACATTTGATAATTATGTTAGTTTGCACTTTTAGACTCATCACGATAAATACAAAAACAGTTTTGAAAATTTAATGCACAAGAAAGAAGAGCTTTGGTTTTTTTTTGTTTTTTTTATAAAGCCTATAGAAACGACATAGGTTTATGTTTTGCTTCCTTTTCATAATGTTTTATAACACGAATTAACGAAAAACAAATTATATTGTGTTGGATCGCGAATTGTAAAGTAGCATTGAAAAAAACTGTTATTTCCTAAATAGCAATAATATCTAGTAGTGTAGGGCAATAACTCGAATAATAGTGCAATATCGCGAAAGGCAGTGTAGTATTGCGAATTGTAGTGTAGTATCGCGAATTGTAGTGCATTGTAGTGTATCATCTAAGTGTATTTATTGTAATGTAGTAATATTGGGAAATGTATTGTAGTTTAGTAACGGGAATTATGTACTGTTGTTGTTGTGTCGTGGATGGCAATGTCTCTGCAAGAAATATATTGGGTATGATAACTTTTCCTCTTTAAACCACATTATTAATGCACAGTTGTTGCAAATACATTTACACAGAGAAACTACCATATAAGACTTAATTATCCATTTATCTGTTTTTAAATCCTTCGTTTGATCCAATTTGTGACTCTATCCTCAGATTAAGGTATCGTGTCACCTTCAAAGAATCTTCCCTCAATATCATGCTGGTGATCATCCGTTGCAATCAAAGCCACCTCTAAGCATATTACATGTTCTTTTATTACTATTAGCATGGTTCCTACAGAAATAAGACACGGGAAACCTGGAAAATGTCAAAAATAACGTCACTACTGTGGCATAAAGAGACCTCTTAGCAGAACTTCAACTTGACATGTAGTTATGAATGTCAACAGTATCGTGCCCCCTCCCCACCTCTATAATCAATATATGTCTGATTACCTCACTAGTCTCTAGGGTATACTTAAACCATATTGTAATAGACCAGGAAAATTGCTGTGCTATTGTAAAGGTATGGACGTTTCAGACATTTCTATATAACTATTGAATAGACCAGGAATTGACTAGATCGAAATCCTTTTTATCTACGAAAATTAAATTTCGCAAAGGAGCAGTTTTTAAAAGATTGGATGTAATTAAATTTTTACAGTGCTAAAGAAGAAATTTTAATATATTTCTCATATAATGCAACATAATTGTGTCCGTATTATCGCATTATTTCTTTCGGTGGTATGTCTGTTCGATATTGTGTCTCTTGTAAGATGAATGTCTTATAATTGGACTCTCTAGCTGCACATGTTCCAGACCTTACATTTCACCAAGTATCCCTAATGTCGAGTTTGGAGGTGCCATCCGGTTTGACGACTGTACCTAGCCTTTGCATGAATGTAAACAGTAGGTATATATACATGATGTACATATACAGTACAGAGAGAGAGAGAGAGAGAGAGAGAGAGAGAGAGATGTGGTTTAACGTCCACTCAACACAAACTAGGTCATTTCGGGACTAACATATGGTTTTAGTTTTATTTTAATAATTCGCTTGCGCGTAGGGGTCTTTAGCAGTGGGCGGACAACGGAGGACCCGGAGAAAACCCACGAGGTTGGACAGGCGACCCAACTCCTTTTTTACGTACAACCGGGGATTAGAAACGACGCCAGTTAAACTCAATGACAGGCCTTATGATATAGCGTGCACCTGCTAACCATTCGGCCCCTGTACATTACAGAAGCCCACAGAATTAAGGCGCTGGTCGTAATTCACTTTTGTTGGACAATATCTAGTTTTTCACGGCTTAATCCACGTTACAAAGGACTTAAATTGGTTATCTAAAATTTGATCAAAACATATTAAGCAAAATTATTAAAGATACATTGTGGGAGATTAGATAAAGAGCTGGCAGTTGAATTCCATATTAATGCATAAGACAGTTGTCCTGTCACGAAAAATCGATTTTTTTCAATTGGTCGATTTTAGCAAGAAAAATGTGGGTTCCATGTAAGCCTACGAGATGTTTTAGCTATTACTTGGCGATGGCTCACCGAGTAAGACTCTCCCTTACTAACCAGGAGGTTTTTTGGTTCACTCCCGGTCTTGACCGAGATAATTACGGTGAGTTTGCCCCTTATCGGTGTCTAGTCGTTGGGATGAGGCAAAAAACGAATACACATTCTATTTTTTTTCAATTGGTCGATTTTAGCAAGAAAAATGTGGTTTCCATGTAAGCCTACGAGATGTTTTAGCTATTATTTGGCGATGGTTCACTGAGTAAGACTCTCCCTTACTAACCAGGAGGTTTTTTGGTTCACTCCCGGTCTTGACCGAGATAATTACGGTGAGTTTGCCCCTTATCGGTATCTAGTCGTTGGGATGAGGCAAAAAACGAATACACATTGGCGTACACAAAAATGAAATGAGATAGGGTTTAACGTACCCTTGTTCTGCTTCGACAGGTTTCTGATAGTCAGACATTAAAGATACAGTATGGGAGATTAAATAAAGAGATGCCGCATGCTGGTTTATCATATCCATGTTTGATTTCCTATCGGTTCTTGCATAAGATTAACTGTTTAGTGTATCTTTGCTTTAGTGTGTTACGTTTAATTTGCAATGAGACGTCTTCAACATGATGAACTTCTACGTGCTATTGGCA